CAGGACAGCTGGAGCTACAGGGAGGCAGAGGCAGGCAGATATCTATGAGTTCAAGGCTAGCCTGGTCTACATAGTGAGTTCCAGGACAGCTGGGGCTACAGGAATACCCTGTCTCAAAAAGATCAAAATAAAAACAAAACCCTAGAACACTAAGAACAGTTTTAGGGGCAGAAAGCTTAAAAGGGAACAACACTAATTCTTGTCCTTGTCTAGGAGTCAGAGATGTCCTTGATTGTGGCCTTAGATCAGGAATATCAGAAGGGAGCTCTTGCTGGTCATATTGCTCTATTCCTAAATGAGTACCCCTTCCTGGAAGCTACATATAACTGAAGCTCCAGTACAGACAGTCATCCCTTCTGGTGAAAGCCTTGAAATTGGAGCTCGTAGAAGAAATAGAGTGTATATATTATAGTCTTAGCAGTGATGCTATTAGTTTTGGACTTTGTGTCTTCATTTGCTGTCTTAATTGTGTCGTGTCTTATTTACAGTTGATCAGTACTCAGATGGTTCTGCTGCAATCTAACTCAGTCTGGGTCCCTTTGATTGCCCTCCAAGGCCTAAAAGTCATCTAGAATAGAGATTCTAAGCCCTTGTATACCCTAATTTCAGCCCATCTCGTAAATTATTTTAAGCTCTCGACTATTGAGGGGGGAGTGTTACAGGAAACAGCAGCCCTGGAGACTGTTTAGGACAGACCCCTTACTTGTGGTCAACTTTGGACCCAACCTCCTGTCTGTCTGGTAACACTTGAAAGGCTTTGTTGAGGCCCATTAAGGGAAAGCTGTTTTTTCCTGGGAAAACAAAACAAAAACAAAAACAAACAAACAAACAACAAACAAAACCAAAGCCAAACCAAACCTGAGTTCTCTCACTGGACTTTGGGTGGATCCATGACATTATATTCTGCTGGAAAGATTTGAACTTTACTACCTATTGTCTCCTCCCTTAAGAAAGTTAATCCAGCTGGGCCTGTCAATCACCTGGCCAGAAAAACACCCTATGGGAAATCTGATTCACATGCTAAGGAGATGAGAGGAATAATTATTCCCTTCAGGAGATGATGAACTTTTGCTTTCTAGAAGCCCTTCTCTGGGCACGGTCACTTGGAGGGTCTCCCTCTGTGCCAGCACTGCTAAGCCTGCCCACTTTGCTGAAAGGCATAACTTTCCTTTTCCTTTTCTTTCTTTCTATATTTTTCAAATACTGCCCGAAAGCCAAAGCATGTCTTCCCTGACACTGTGGGCTATCTCATTATTTCTCTGAAGTCCTTTCCTTCTGCCAGGAGGCTGCTTGTTGACCTCCACAGCTGACCCTGCTGACTTTATTGGACCCAAACTCTTAATGCATTACTTTTTCCTCTTTTTCTTATCTGTTTTTTACCCTCTGGCAGCTGTCACGATTCACAGTTTGCCTGTCCTGTTGCTCTTTCTAAAATTCTAATAAATGGTCCTTGAGCTTTCTTCTGAGTCCATTTTATTATTTTATTTTAATTTAATTGTTTTACATTTATTTTATGTGTGTGTATGTGATGTGTATGGGTGCATGTGTGCTACGGGACATCTATGGTGGCAAGAGAGCAACCTTTGGGAGTTAGTACTCTCCTAGGATGTGGGCTCTAGAGATCAAACTTAGGTTGTCAGGCTGGCAGCAGTACGTTTATCCACTGAGCCATCTTGTCAAACCCCAAGCCCATTTTAAATTAACAAAATTTGTCTTTACTAAAGAGGAAGGTGTCTCTTAGCCTTGTATCATCCAATCTTGACAACCCTCTGGTAACCCCCACTGTACTGATGGGAGAAATGAGAATGAACTCTGGTGGATATGGGTTAGTTTCAAAACATTTTTAAAAGTTAGATTATAGCCTAGTGTAGAAAAACGAGACATTTGGGGAGAAATAAATATTTGCTGTTGTTTTTAGAAAGCTAGTTACTGATAGCGCACTTGGGCCAGTGTGACATTTTCTTTTCATCAAGAGTCCATGAAGGTGGCTAACAACTATCTGTAACTCCAGCTCCAGGGGATCCGATGCCTTCTGTCCTCCACAGGCCCTGCACGACATGGGTACACTTACACACAGGCAGGCATAACTCTCATACACATAAAATAAAAGTAAATTAATTAAAAAAAAGAATCCTTGAAGCAGTTCTTTTTACTATCCCAGGAATACAGGAGGGCACAGAAACTTTAAACAACCCGCCCTTGATGGACAACTTGAAAAAGGATCTTAACCAGGCTCTAATCCTTAGTGATACAGCAAAGTGATACTGTGTTTTGTGATCTTTTCAGGTTGATTTTGTTGTAGTAATGAAGGTGGGCAACTGATTGTGACCATGTCTTGAAGCAGCTGAACTTGTGAAGGATTTAGAGCTCTGTTCTTTGAGCAGCCAGTGGTCTACCAGAGTTGTGTGCCTGAGGATTTTCTCAGAGCTGTAGGTTTAAGGGAGTATGGTCTGGGCAGAGCACAAAGGGGGTTTGAGGTAGGATGAGAGCAGTGAACCTTTAAAGAACCCCAACTACCACATCAGCAAGGTTGGTTTCAGAGCAAAGCAGAAACAAGCCATGTTTTATGCCTGAAGTGGTGATTAGGAAGTTGGAGATGTAAATGCTGGATCAGAGAAACACTGGAAAAGGAAGGGCTTTATTGATTGGTTTGATTATATAGTTCCCAAGGAGTTTACCTGTGCTGACCCTGGGTGGGAGGACCAGAAGCAAGGGCTGGAGACAATGGGAACTTGATCTTGGAGTGGTGGAGATTCTTGATTGCAGGTCAATGGCCCTTTGTGGCTTCCAGATCTCCTCCACCTTCAAGATCTGGATCAAATGACCTTGGGCTTGGTATTAGGAGCCCTGGTTCCTGGAAGCCTAGAGTGCGAATCTCTAAAAAAAATAGCAAGCACATGTGTCTTCTGTTTTTTTAAATGATATATACTTTTCGGAGCCTTCTCACAGCCTATAACAAGAACAGGAAGCCAATGAGAATTCTTAGGATAGAATCTTGATAGTTGGGAATCTAAGAAACACAGCTTAGAGCATCACATTCCTCCTTCTTCTTGTTCCCCAGCCCCATCACAGTTTTTTTTTGCAGGGAGATGGGCACGTGGTGGTCAGGATTCTGAGGTTCTGTCACTGGAGTCTTGGCAGGAGTCATAGTGCTGGTAGATGCTCAAGTTTTCACTTGTCTCCACAGTAGACAAATTCCCCCGCAAGCATTCTTTATCTTCTTTACATAGATACAAAGATTGAATCGCAGTCCTCAAATAGATGCAAAGATTGAGAAACAGTTTTAGTAAGTTTGGTGACTGACTTGAAGGAAGGGTAAGCAGACAATAAACTATCTCAGTTTGTCCTCTGGCTATGTGCTCTGACCAGCACACCCTTCCCTCCACCACTCAAAAAAGTGAGAAAGCTTTGGAAGAATGATTAGGAATTTGTAATGGGGTACGCGAGGATAAAGACAGAGGAACAATTCAACCTACTTCCATGGAAATTTCTTTTCAACTGGAGAGGTGAATGGCATTTCAAGAACATTCTGTACTCTAAACTGTTGACATGAGAGTTCAGAGCTGCACATCCTTGTAGATATGTGAAGTTTGCAGAAGCAAAAACAGATTTCATTTTAAAGGGGCTCCTGGACAGTCTATACTGGAGCCCACAATGACAACCCACAGCTCGGGAACACAGATTCAGGTTACCTCAAATTCCATGTTCCAGCCTCTCAGTTTCTTGAAGTTTCATACTAACAGAACAAAGAAAGCCATAAATCAACATGCTTTTCAAACACATTGATGAAAAAACAAATCAGACAGGCAGTCTACAGGAAATATAGGTATAGGCCCCAGATATAGGCCTCAGATATATCTGAGGACATTCATAGCCTTTTGGTTGATGTAAGTTAGTGGTCTGCTAATACATTCCAAATGGTTTCATTTATCAGTCACAAAGATGTTAGAGGACATCTTTGTTAGAGACATAGAGGAAAGCAAGGAATGGCTAATAATGGGGCTAAAGATAGACCAACATATACTGTAATTAGGCTCTGCACCTGCAACATTCCAGCCTCTTCACAATCATTGGAGTTCTAATCAGTTCATTAACCAGGTAGAAAGTTTAATGTTAGGTGCTGCCCTCCCCCTCCCCCAGGAACTTTTATAAACAAGAGGCTCTGGCTAGTGCTGGGGTTCATCTTTATGAAGCACACTTTTTATCTGTCAGGACTTTTAGTGTTGTCATTCATATGTCACCCACAAACTTGTTCCTTAAATGTGGATACTCTACATTGTGTTTCACAGATATCAGCTATCAGGATTCTAGGTTTATTATTTGTTTATTTATTTTAAAGATATTTTTAATTTATGTGTATATATTCTGTGAATGCCCTGTGTGTATGGATGCCCACGGAAGGTAGAGGCGTCGGATCCACTAGAGGTGGAGTTAAAGGAGGTTTTAAGCTGCCCTTATGTGGGTGCTGGGACCCAAACTCAGGTCCTCTGAAAGAGCAGCAAGCGCCTTTAATTGCTGAGCCATCCCTCCAGCCCCAGCAATTAGGATCTAAAGCTATCCCGGCAACGCTTATCGGGCTTCCTAATCTTGTTACGGGTTCTGAAAAGGTTCTAAGAAGTGTATCATTACACAAACAAAAGACAAGCGCTTGCAACTTTTTTCCATGGGATACGCACATTTACTTAGTGGATGCTGCCTAGACTCTTGGCTTTCGTACCTTTTCTGTTCTCGCCTGCCTTCTGCCACAGGCAATTACAAACCCGGTCAATAACTGCCCGGGGAGAACCTGATGGCCTGAGCTGAGCACTCGGGTCAGAGAGATCTGAGAGGCAGATGGACTTTGGGGAGGAGAAGGGGCAAGGCATGACCTAGTACCTGGCAGCGCCACCGATTGGCGGAGGAGAAGGTTGTTCCCTCAAGGCTGCTGCTCATTGGCTGCAGGAAGACGAGTCGTGACGTACTTAGAAGTTGAACAAACACCTCCTCCTTCTCGACCCCCGCCTCCCAGGCCAATTTCTGCCGGGAGATCAGAACCTGTGTGGTCCAGACTCTGGAGCTAGCGCTAGGCAGCGGGGGACCTGCAGGCATCCGAAGTGGGCGAGGTAAGGAGGGAGTTGGAAGGGTGTTGTGGATGCAGGCGCGGTTCCCGCCTGCGAGATGCGCTGGGAACTCCCAGATGGCCGGCCGGACTCCAGCTGTTGGCCGGGAGCTGGGCTTCGGCGTCCCGGCGCGGCTATCCAGGGGGCTCCGGGCTCCGCCGTGGTGGAGAAAGGGAGAGGGACGAGCTTCCGGCTTGGCAGCCCAGTCTCGGTAGAGGGGGGACCGTGGGCGCTCCTTTGGGCTTCTAAGTAGGAAGGGGGAGAGAGGGCAGTGCACGCTCTTTTCTTTTTTCTTTTTGGCGGATGGTAATGGTGCTCTTGTTGGGGGGAAAGGGCAGATGTTGAAACTGAAGTTGCAGAGTGAATAACTTACTCACTTTTGGACTGAATGCTTCTTGACTTGTGTGGTTTATGGAGGGCGCAAGACTCTGCCTGGCCTCCTCCCGGACTCCCTGCCAACCAGACAGTGAACTTCCCACGCTCTAGCCCGGGGCTGCTCATTCTGAGATAGAGACGGGGCTGGGTCTGTCTGTACTCTGAGTTAGCAGTGAAAAAGTTGGGCACATTGAGTTTCAGGTCTCCTGAACCCCAGAGACCCTGGGGCGGTTGTGCAAGTCGGGAGGGCTCAAGGAGGCAAGGTGGACACACTTCATTACCTGCTTTGCCTGACAGAATGGAGACAGAGAGCAAGCGAGTGAGAATGAATAAATAATTTAGTTCAGGAACTTGCAGGATGTTTGGATATTGTGGGTCATGAGTTATCAGAATGTGGGAAGGTGTAGCATGTCATATCATGTGACCAACATGACAAGGCTCTGTACAGGACTGAATGGTCATGAGGTACACAGTGTCTTTCTGTACATATGGCATGGTGTGTCCCATTAAGATGAGTAGACCTAGGGCCGCATGACTTTCTGGCTAGTAATCTGGTCTCCATTTTGCAAATGGCTTAGGAGGACAGAGGTTGAAATACATGTACCAGAGTTATTTTCCCAGTCTTCTAGAAAGTGGTATTTCTTATCAACCTCACTTGTCAATGGTGAAAATGTAATCAGAACACTAATTTGACTAGTTACTGAAGGATTTATTTTTCTTACTAGTCTTTTAAGCACTAATGAATGTTGAAATAATCAGTGGATCTGCACTTGTCATTTAACAAAGTTTTCTTCTAAATTTTCTTCTATTCAATTTTGTATAGAAATAACACTCCAGTTAACTTTCCTAGGTGTGGCCACAAAACTTTCTATGTAATTCATAGAATCATAAAAACATTGTATATTTAGAATGGGAAATAACCAATAACATGATTGCTTTATTCATTAAATTTAAGGTGTCATCAGTTATAAGATGTATCCTTATTTCAGAGATACCAAGTTGTGAAAACATGGGTATCAAACTTGTTGAAACAAAATTAAAATGACAATGAATTTTATACTGCACATCTATGTCTAAAGAGTGAATGAAGTTCAAGGCAAAACTTATAAAACATAATTACCACAGTGTGATAAAGATCAAGAGAAGGTACTGTCTTCTGCTAGTGCCATGGTTGTGATCCCATTTGAGAAATAAGCATGCTTGGAGCCTTCTTTTCTTAACCTTTATTGTGTTTTTATGGCATGTTAGACTGTGCTCAGCACTTCAAGCACACTAGCTGAACAGAAGGAGAGGTAGAAGTTCCCACGACTTGTATTGTGAAGATGATGCACAGGTAGGTAAGCTGTGGATCAGGTTCACAGAGCAAGTCGAGGTGCTGGGAACTCAGACATTTCAGAGTGGAGAGGAATCTGCATTCTTTTGCATCCATCTCTGTGCTAGCTCTTTGTCAGTGCAGTTAATGCTTTACTGCTAGAGGCTTAGGTAAACTTCTAGGCTTCCTCCTGGTTGTCTTAGTATTTGGTTTCCTGTTTGTTGTCCTCCAGCTGAATGTTCACAGGTAGAGGGACTACTTGATATTCTGCAACTCTATGCATTTGTAATCCAAGCTGCCTAAACACTCCTATGCTTAATGGAATCTGAAATAATAATAAAACCATGTAAAAGACATTGCATGAAAAATTTATTGTGTGTGTCTGTGTGCATGTGCACCATGAGTATGTGTGTAGGTTGGAGGAAAACTTCTAAGAGTTGGTTCTCTCCATTCACTTTGAGGATCCTGGGGCTGGAACTCAGGTTGTTCAGTTTGATGACTAGCTCTACAATCATGCTAAAGGATTTTCTGTATTATATTCCAGTGTGGATGTGCAAACTGAAATCAAGGGAAGAAATCCACAGCTAGTAACATGTTCTGGATCCCAGGAAGTTTCCAGACTGCATTGAGCTATGAGGTCCTGACAGAGAACAGGCCTGTGTTGTTTTTAGGGGTTTTGGGGTGAGATGGGTTGTGAATCTTCCTTTTACTTATGATGTTTATTTAATTTTTATCAATATTCATTTAAAATAAATTTTTTGAAATTTAAAATTTTTAGCTGGTCCACAAAATCATAAACTATGTACAAACCATTTATATTAATAGGGTATCATGTACTCTTTTGATATATATATATATATATAGTAGTGTTTGAATCATCATCTCAAACATTTGCTATTTCTTTTTTAAAAATAGTTTTTATTTTTATTTTATGTATATGAGTGTATTGCCTACATGTGTGTAAGTGCATCCATATCATGCAATGCCCATGGAGGTCAGAAGAAGGTGTTGGATCCCTTGGAATTGGAGTTAGGGATGATTGTTAGTCGCCTTGTGAGTACTGGGAATCGAACCCTGGTTCTCTGCAAGAGCAGCCAGTGTTCTGAACTGCTACAACATCTCTCCAGTCCCTTTTGCCATTTCTTTATGAAGAAGACTTTAATTTCCTTTCAATATATATTTGAATATATTGAATATAAATATGTGTTGAAATATAGTACATTATGCTTATAGTCATCCAATTGTGTAAAATATTTATTCATTCTTTTTTGAATGATTGAAGTTTTTCTATCTGCCAGTCACTGAAAATACAGAAGTGAATAAATCACAGTTCCTACCCTAGTTTAGCCGGGAGACATGAATTTAGCAAATAATCATTTTGGGTTGGACTTCACTTAAAAACTTTGTTTCTGGGCCGGGTGTGCTGGCGCATGCCTTTAATCCCAGCACTCAGGAGGCAGAAGCAGAGGCAGGCGGATCTCTGTGAGTTCAAGGCCAGCCTGGTCTACATAGTGAGTTCCAGGACAGCTGGGGCTCCAGGGAGACCCTGTCTCAAAACAAACAAACAAACAAACAAAAAAAAAAGCAAAATAACAAAACAAAACAACAACAACAAAACTTTGTTTTCATCTCACTGAAGCTTAATCTATGAGCAAAAGACCAGGAAAACCAGGGATTATATATCACTGTATGATTTAGTAAGGCTTAAGAAAATATAAATATTCTCAGACAAGATAAATTAATACTAATAGACCTGTCTCTCCAAAGTCTCTATATTAGTTACTTCTCAGTTTCTGTGACAACCCCCTCCCCCAAACCCAACAAAATAAAACAAAACAAAACAGAAACGATAGAAGCAACTTAATGGGAAAAAGATTTATTTTGACTTACAGTATAAGAAGTGATACAGACATCATGGAGGGAAGGCAAGAGGATGGGACTGTAAGGCTGCTGGTCACACATATTTGGTTCATAGTCAGGAAGCAGAAAGAGATGAATGCTGATATAGAGCTGGCTTTCTCCTTTTTTCCTTTCTGTTCAGTTCAGGACCCTACCTCATGGGATGGCACTACCCACATTCAGGGAGGGTCTTTCCTCCTCAGCTAAACTCTGTAAATGCTCTCAGAGGTATGTCTCTCAAATGATTCAAAATCCAGTCAGGTTGACAATGGACATTAACCATCACTGTCTGTGTTTTTTTAAATTAAATTTAATTTTTAACTTTTTGTCTAGGCATTTTATTATAGGGTTAACATGGAGACATTTAAAGACTGTACTAATGGAAGAGGAAGTGGAAATTTGGAGGCTAGCACCATTGCAATTCCAGACATGGTTCCAGCAAGCTTTGGAATTGAGAGGGCATTAGAATAGAACTAGGCCATTGTTAAATGTTCTGTTAATTATGGAACTCTTCTGTATTTCCCAGGTTCACCATGATCTGAAAGTATACAGTAAGATATATAGCTATCGCCACCATGTTTATTTACATATGCCAAAAATTCTAGTATGTGGAAATATATCAGCATGTATTTTACCTAAAAAAAAAAAAAAAAACACGAAATACAAAAAACAAAAAAGCAACAGTATATATGACTGGAAAGAAGGCTTTGAGATTGAGAGTACTTGCTGTTCTTGCAAAGGACTAGAGTTCATCTTCCAACCCACATCAGGCAGCTCACAACTGTCTGTAACTCCAGCTCAGAGGATTGGGTGTCCTCTTCTGGCTTCAGTGGATTCCGGCACACAGGTGCCCACATACATAAATTAAAAAATAAAATAAACCCTTAAAAAATACCAAGTATGGTTTGAAGAGAAGATTCAGTCATTAAGAGCACTGATTGCTTTTGCAGAAGACCCAGGTTTGGTTCCCAGCACCTATATGGTGGCTACAATCTATAACTCCAGTTCCAGGGGATCCAACATCTTCTTCTAGACTTTGTGGTCATTATACACACATGGCGCACTTACATTCATGCAGACAAAACACTCACAAGAAAAAAAAAAAAAACCAAGTTGTTTAAAAATACAACTGAAATTCCTGAATGAACTGGAAGGGAAAATGTAAACAATTCGCATTTCTGATCATTAATCTATCTTCTTTATTTTGAGTCTCTCCATATTTAATCCAGATATATTCCTGATTAGTATAAACAATTTGACATCAAAAATCTATGTGTCTAAGTAATTTCAGTCACTGAATCTAGTGGAATTGTTTTAAAGATGTAAAACAGATGTCCGAGATGTTCCTGAGAATGGGGGCCAGAGAGGAAACATTTGGCTTTAATTTCTTCAACAATGAATGTGTGTTCCTAAGCTT